AAGAAGCGTCGAGATTAGAGCGGGACGACAAGGCTCTTAACATGATCTTTATGTACGTCGGAGATCTCGTTCTACGGAAGCTCGACAAGTGTACGACGGCAGCGCAAGTGTGGGAAACATTGGATCGATTGTACATGGCCAAGACTCTCCCCAACAGAGTTCATGCTCAGCTCAAGGTCTATGCATTCAAGATGACGGACTCGAGGACAATCGATCAGAACGTCGACATCTTCCTGAAGCTAATTGCGGATCTGAGCAATCTCAGCATCGACATCCCTGAGGAGGTACAAGCTATCTTACTTCTTAATGCCCTTCCCCCTAGGTTTGATTCGTTGAAAGAAACCTTGAAATATGGTCGAAACGCAAGAAAATTTGAAGAGGTTATTAGTTCTGCGAAATCGAAAGAGTTGGAATATATTGATTCACCTAGCCATAAGTCTATCGGGGAAGGTCATTATGTTAGAGGTAGATCGGAATCTAGGGGCACTAACAATGCAGATAAGAACAACAAGAACCGATCGAGGTCTAAGTCTAAGGATGGCAAGAGAGTGTGCTGGATCTGTGGAAAGGAGGGACACTTCAAGAAACAGTGTTACATATGGCTGGAAAGGAACAAAGGAAAAGGTCAGTCGCAGGATCATGGAGAGTCGTCACTGGCTAAGGATGATGCACGAGACTTGGTGGGTTTCATGGCCTGTGAAGCGAACGTTTCCACAGGAGAGAATATCAAGGAAGAATGGTTTATGGACACAGGGTGTTCGTTTCATATGACACCAACGAAGGAAGTGTTCATTGACTTTAAAGAGTCTGCATCCGGGACGGTTCAGATGGCAAACAACACCAAGGCGGAGGTCAAGGGAGTCGGCTCCGTGAGGTTTGAGAACCCCAGATGGAACCACCTTCGTTCTGCATGAGGTCAGATATATGCCAGAGATTGGCAAGAACCTGATTTCAGTAGGAACGCTTGAAGAAAAAGGATGTGATTTCAAGGGGTCAAAGGGAGTGCTCAAAGTAACAAAAGGATGTTCTGTGATCATGAAAACAGTAAGGAAAGGGACAGATACTCTCTACTTCTTACAAGGCTCAGCAAGAACTACAGATTTTGAGAGCAACATTGTGAAGAAGGATGCTGACAGTGAATCCTATACAAGACTCTGGCACAGTCGTCTTGGTCACGTAGGACAGAAGAGCATGGACGTTCTTGGCAAGAAGGGTTGCTTCGATAGCAACAAAGTCACAGAGGTCTCATTTTGCGAAGACTGTGTTCTTGGAAAAACACACAGAGTCAGCTTTGGTCCAGCGAAGCATGTAACTAAAGCTAAGTTGGATTACATTCACTCTGACTTATGGGAATCACCTAACGTTCCCATGAGTTTAGGGAGGTGCCAATACTTCGTTTCATTCACAGACGACTGGTCAAGGAAGGTGTGGATCTATTTTTTGAAGACCAAAGACGAAGCATTCGAGAAGTTTGTGGAATGGAAGAAGACGGTTGAAGTTCAGAGTGAAAGAAAGGTCAAGAGGCTTAGGACTGACAATGGGCTTGAGTTCTGCAACCAGCGGTTTGATCAGTTTTGTAAATCTGAAGGAATGGTGAGGCACAGGACCTGTACATACACTCCACAGCAAAATTGGAGTGGCAGAGAGACTCAACCGGACTATTATGAACAAAGTGAGGAGCATGCTAAGTGAAAGCGGATTAGAGCTTCGGTTCTGGGCTGAAGCTGCTTCAACGTCAGTATACTTGATCAACAGAACGCCATCATCAGCTATCGAGTTCGACATACCTGAAGAACGGTGGTCATCAGCGGTTCCTCACCTATCCGGACTCAGAAAGTTTGGATGCGTAGCACATACACATTCAGATGATGGGAAACTAATTCCAAGAGCCAAGAAGGGAATCTTTACTAGTTATCCAAGCGGCGTTAAGGGATTTAGGATTTGGTTACTAGAAGAGGAAAAATGCTTAATAAGCCGCAACATAGTCTTCAAGGAAGTCTTGATGTACAAACACGTCAAGTCTGAGGTACAATCTCCTAACTCTAGTGACATTCCTGTTATTACTGATGTGTTTGTTAGCGATGATCTTGCAGGTAAGAATACAGGATCAGAAGCTCAACATCAAGGTGGAGCTACTGAGACTGAGATCCTCCACTCACCAGAGCCAGAGAATCAGAATGAGGATCAAGATCAGACAGGTCAGGACCTGGAAGGTTATCAGTTGGCAAGAGATCGTCTGAGAAGACAGACGAAGAAACCATCTCGGTTAGATGACTTCCTCACGGAAGAAGAAGATGAGGAGGATATAGCGGGCTATGCATACCTAATCATTGAAGATGGAGGAAGACCAGCTCCTGGAAACTATCAAGAAGCATTAGATGATCCAGACAGTGAGAAATGGCTAGTAGCGTTAGACGACGAGATGGAGTCACTTATGAAGAACAAGACGTGAAAGCTGGTTGATAGGGTTAAGACTCAGAAGCCTATCGGGTGTAAGTGGATCTTCACAAGAAAAGCTGGAATAATTGGAGTGGAGAACCCGAGATTCAAAGCAAGATTGGTGGCTAAAGGCTATTCACAGAAGGAAGGAATCGACTATCAAGAGATCTTCTCTCCAGTGGTGAAACATGTCTCAATCCGGTTCCTTCTGTCTACAGTGGTACATTTTGATATGGAGCTTCAACAGATGGACGTGAAGACAGATTTTCTTCACGGGTACTTAGATGAAACGATCTACATGGAGCAACCAGAGGGATATGTGGATGAGAAGCATCCTGATAAAGTGTGTCTTCTTCAGAGATCATTATATGGTCTAAAGCAGTCTCCACGACAGTGGAATACCAGATTCGATAGTTTCATGCAATCTCATGGTTACAGAAGGAGCGAGTATGACAGTTGTGTATACTTCAAGGAGCTTCACAGGGGTGAATACATATACTTACTCTTGTATGTAGATGATATTCTGATAGCTTCAAAGGATAAGAAGTATGTATTGGAGCTAAAGGCATTGCTCAGCTCAGAATTTGAGATGAAAGACTTGGGAGAAGCAAAGAAGATTCTGGGAATGGAGATTACCAGAGACAGAGTGAAAGGCACGTTGACGATATCCCAAGAAAGGCACGTTGATCAGATCATTATATGGTCTAAAGCAGTCTCCACGACAGTGGAATACCAGATTCGATAGCTTCATGCAATCTCATGGTTACAGAAGGAGCAAGTATGACATTTGTGTATACTTCAAGGAGCTTCACAGGGATAATACGTATACTTACTCTTGTATGTAGATGATATTCTGATAGCTTCAAAGGATAAGAAGTATGTATTGCAGCTAAAGGCATTGCTCAGCTCAGAATTTGAGATGAAAGACTTGGGAGAAGCAAAGAAGATTCTGGGAATGGAGATTACCAGAGACAGAGTGAAAGGCACGTTGACGATATCCCAAGAAAGCTATGTGAATAGAATTCTGGGAAACTTTGGGATGGATCAGTCAAAGTCGGTATCAACTCCAATGGGAGCTCACTTCAGTTTTCAAGCAGCTACAGTCAATGGAGATGGAAAAGGTTCCATATCAAAGCGCAGTTGGGAGTCTGATGATGATAGGCACATGATATACCTCTAATTTACCCACTTTTATACTGTTTTAGCATTGTTTTCTAATGGTTTTTGGCAGGTTTTCTATCTAAAAAGGTAGTTTTACTATGTTTATAGTGTCTAGAGTCTAAACAGGTGAAATGATGCATTTTGGAGCAAAACCATAGGATTTGCACTTCAAGCAGCTCCATGCACAAGCACCAACTTTAAGAGGGCCCAGAAAAAGATCTACTCAATGGATTTCATCAAGACCAGTTCCCTGCGTGCTCTGATTGAGTTAACTTTCCAACGCAATTGGAATGGCATCATTTGGATGAGTAGAAAAGGAGTTATAATCAAAAGAGCGGAGACTGTCCAGACGGCTCTATCGAGAGAACAGCGCCCAAACCGCGCAGACCGGCTGGCCGAGAAACTATTGTTTCGCGCTCGGCCAAAGTCATGTCCGTCCGACTGAAGTCTCGGCCAAAGCTCCAAACCGACCGGCCGATCACGCAACGCGACCCGGGAAACATTGTCCCGCGGTCGGCCAAGCTTCAAACGCTCCACGCCACGCCACGCACGACCACAGCGCGCGAGCCGGGAAACAAGGCCTCGCGGCCACGCAACCCGTTCTGCGTGCCACGGTCGATGCATCCGTCAGAGCCGGGAAAGAACGTCCCACGTCCGGCAGAGAATTCTCATCGGCCAAATCTCAATCCACTCGACCACGCCGGCCGACCGCAAATCCGTCCGACCCCGACCGTTCCGACTCGCCCACGATCCGACTGTCCGGCCGATCGTCCCGACCGACCGTCCCAACGCCGCGGTCGACCCGAAGCCCTTTTTGAAGCCCAAACTTATGTTTTCAAGCCCGGCTTAACCCTAAGCCGCCTCTAGAAAGACCTAGCATTATATATATGGATTTTTAGCCTCTTGAGAAAGAGAGCCGCCTTGTATTTTGATCGCGGGATCGGTCTTCCCTTTTCCTATCCCTGATTCTGCAAGTGCACAGATCAAAAGTAGTAAACGGGTATCGAACACAAGGAGCAGATAAGTACACTTCGAGTATTGCAAGTCTAAAATAGCTAGAAAACAAGTATGATTTAGGGTTTTTGATTGTGAAACGAAGTAAATCAAACAGCAGATTAAACGGTTTATGAAAATCAATAGAGGGAAACGCTAGGCAATGAGAAACTCGCAGAGATTCAAGGTTAACAAGATATTAGAAGGTTCGCTAGGGTTTGCGCTATCTAGAACTCAGGTCACGATTGTATGATCTTTCCACTGTCGAGGCTCCGACCCCTTTGTTAATCTACCTAGTCGCTAAACTTTTGGTATGTCCCTAGGTGATTAAATCAAGCAATAGTTCGTTCAAGACCCAATTGTTCACAACCCCGCATAGATCAACTTTCGCAGTCTATGAAGTTTTGCTCACCAAATACTTAGTTCAGGTTATATAGCAAGCTTTTGGAGAGTATATGAAACCTAAGATCTGATGCTAGTTGATCAGAAAAGCAAGCAGCAATGAATTCAAGCAGAGGCGAAGATGCGATATGATAAACCCTATGTGACTTCTAACAACCTATCAAACCATGAACTCTTTGATAGATCTCACAACCTAACTAGTGAATTACTCAGACATAATCAAAGCAAAAACACAAAGAGATGAAGAAAACATGATTGCAATAAAATCAAAGTATGAAATTGTAATACAAGGGCGGCTCTCTTTCTCAAGAGGCTAAAAATCCATATATATAGTGCTAGGTCTTTCTAGAGGCGGCTAGGGTTAAGCCGGGCTTGAAAACATAAGTTTGGGCTTCAAAAGGGCTTCGGGTCGACCGCGGCGTTGGGACGGTCGTGCGGGACGATCGGCCGGACAATCGGGTCGTGGCCGAGTCGGAACGGTCGGGTCGGACGGATCGTGGTCGGCCGCGTGGTCGGACGGATGAATTTGGCCGATGAAATCTCGGCCGGACGCGGGACGTAGTTTCCCGGTCGGACGCGTGTTCGTGCGTGTGCGAGATGAGTTGCGCGGCCGCGAGGCGTTTTCCCGGCTCGGCGGTTGGTCGTGCGCGGTCGTGGCGTGGCGTGGCCGACCGCGGGCAATAGTTTCCCGGGTCGTGATTGCGTGATCGGCCGACGGTTTTGGACTTTGGCCGAGACTTCAGACGGACGGACGAGATTTGGCCGAGCGTGGAACATTCGTTCCTCGGCCAGCCGGACTGCGCGGTTGGGCGCTGATTCTCGATAGAGCCGTCTGGACAGTCTTCACTCTTTTGGTTGTAACTCCTTTTCTACTCATCCAAATTAGGCCATTCCAGTTGCGTTGGAAAGTTAACTCAATCAGAGCACGCAGGGAACTGGTCTTGATGAAATCCATTGAGTAGATCTTTTTCTGGGCCCTCTTAAAGTTGGTGCTTGTGCATGGAGCTGCTTGAAGTGCAAATCCTATGGTTTTGCTCCAAAATGCATCATTTCACCTGTTTAGACTCTAGACACTATAAACACAGTAAAACTACCTTTTTAGATAGAAAACCTGCCAAAAACCATTAGAAAACAATGCTAAAACAGTATAAAAAGTGGGTAAATTAGAGGTATATCAACTCCCCCAGACTTAGATCTTTGCTTGTCCTCAAGCAAAAAGAATCTAAATCCGTGAAAGAGGTTTGAAAACGTGGAAGCTCCCTTGCTCTTTTGAATATCCTGTGAAAGGTTCCTTTCCTGTATTCCACTATGAACATAGACAACATAAGGTTAGCTTCACATACACCCTGCAAGTTTAGCGAACAATACCAACCCAACTAGTCTCATCCAGCAATCCAAACTCTCTATTGCTAACCTCTTGCATAAATTTAAAGCGTGAATTCTTTATCAAGGGGACATCGATCAATTGAACTTGTTCTTACCCACTTGATCCTCTCCAAGATTGCCTCTTTAAGTGCAATGAGTTCTTTTCCTCTCTCTTTCTCACATCAGAACTTTGAAAGGTCAATTTATCCCTACTTTTCTAGGGTATCATTTTATTTTTTCTATTGACCCTTCTTTCAACCACAGGATAAGTCTTTAGCTTGTTCCTTGTTTGACTAAGGTATTCCATAAGACATGAAGGTACAGACATATGCATTCCTCATGCTTACTTGTTTTCCTTGTGCTCTTTGAGCTTTTTCTCATATTACTTACCATTTGGGATGGGAGAGAGAGGAGAACTCTTTAAAGATTAGACAAATCTTATTGAAAATCAAGCAAGGAACTGTCGACATGTATGCCAACCCCCTTGACAAGAGTAATTAAGATTGATTAAGGTGAGGTTAACTCTAGATTGCTTGGTTACCTTAGAAATTTTGCTGAGCTAGCATGTCGATCCACTGTAAGAGCTTCTGTTAGGCTTGTGCCTTTAGCTGGTTTCTGCTCTAGGGTCATGGATTGTTAGCATAACACTCTCAATTCTCAAAGCAAGTTCATAACTTCCGGACTGGTTTTTGACTCAATAAAACTTTTTGAAAAACATGAAACAAAGTGAATAAAACATAAGAAAAGAAAGAAAAATGCATTAGTAACACAATAAAACTCCCCCCAGACTTAACTTGCACCGTCCCGGTGAAAGCAAATCACATTAAGGTGAGAGGTAATATTCAAAACAAAAGAAAATTAAAGAAAGAAAATGAAAAGAAATGACCTTCAATGGGTTGCCTCCCATTCAGCGCTTTGTTTAAAGTCATTAGCTTGACTGTATGGCACTTCCTTAAGGATCTGGTGGATCGCCAAGAGCTAGTGTGGTCTCCTGTGGTATGGTGGTGGAGGCTAGGTAAGGTTTTAACCTTTGTCCATTGACTGTAAAGTCTCCTCCCATTGGGTCCCATAGTACCACTGCTCCATAGGGGCGAACTTCTTTAATCCTGAATGGTCCTGACCATCTTGAGCGAAGCTTTCCTGGAAAGAGTTTCAACCTTGAGTTGAATAGTAGAACTTGGTCGTTTGGCGCAAAGTTCTTTGGGATGATCTTGCGGTCATGGAAAGCTTTGGTTCTCTCCTTATAGATCTTTGAATTCTCATAAGCCAGATGCCTAATCTCATCAAGCTCATTCAGCTGAATCAATCTTCTTTCTCCTGCTGTCTTTAGGTTGAAGTTCAACTCCTTAATAGCCCAAGCTGCTTTGTACTCCAGCTCCACAGGTAAATGACATGCTTTACCATAAACAAGATGAAAGGGGGTGGTACCAAGTGGTGTTTTGAAGGCAGTGCGGTATGCCCATAGAGCATCATCTAGTTTGGCACTCCAATCCTTTCTTGTCTTGCCTGTTGTCTTCTGAAGTATGCTCTTGAGTTCTCTGTTTGAGATCTCAACTTGTCCACTAGTTTGAGGGTGGTAAGGAGAGGCAACTTTGTGAGTAACTCCATGCTTCTTCAAAAGGTTGGCAAAGATTCTGTTGATGAAATGTGAACCTCCATCACTTATGACTATCCTAGGCACTCCAAACCTTGGAAAAATGATGGATTTAAACATCTTGATGACCACTTGTGCGTCATTAGTAGGGCTGGCAATGGCTTCCACCCATTTGGAGACATAATCAACTGCCACTAGAATGTATTGGTCACCAAAAGAGGTTGGGAAGGTCCCATAAAGTCAATGCCCCAAACATCAAAAACTTCAACTTCTAGTATAAAGTTCTGTGGCATCTCATTCCTCTTGCTTATATTTCCCATTCTTTGGCAAGCATCACATCTTGATATGAATGCATGAGCATCCTTAAACATAGTTGGCCACCAAAATCCAGCTTGTAGGACCTTGGATACTGTCTTGTAAGTGGCAAAGTGCCTGCATAGCTAGAACTATGACAAGCAAACAATATTCCTTCTACCTCTTCCTCAGGTATGCATCTTCTAAACATTCCATCTGAACATTTCTTGTATAAGTAAGGTTCATCCCAGTAGTACCTTCTTACATCACGCAGAAATTTCTTCTTTCTGTAGCCAAAGAAGTTTGGTGGTGGGTATTCAGCTGCAAGGAAGTTTGCTATGTGGCGAAACCATGGTGTGTTTGATGATGAGATCTTTGTTCCTGGCCTGTGATGGCCTAGTTGTCCATGCTTATTGCTAGCTTCAGCTGCATAAACTGATTCTTCAGGTAGCCTATCATCAAGGGGTAGATTTTCTTCAACTCTCATCCTTGAAAGATGATCAGCTACTCCATTATCTGCTCCTCTTCTATCCTTGATCTCAAGATCAAATTCTTGCAGTAGTAGTATCCATCTCAACAATCTTGGCTTGGCATCTTTCTTAGATAAAAGATACCTTAATGCTGCATGATCAGAGTGAACTATAACTTTTGATCCCACCAAGTATGATCGAAATTTCTCAAATGCAAAGACAATAGCAAGAAGCTCCTTTTCTGTTGTGGCATACTTGCATTGTGCCTCATCAAGTGTTCTGCTGGCATAGTAGATCACATGTAGCTTCTTGTCTTTTCTTTGTCCAAGCACTGCTCCTACTGCATAATCACTTGCATCACACATTATCTCAAAAGGTAGTTCCCAGTTTGGAGGTTGAACCACTGGCGCACTGACCAATGCATCTTTGATCTTAGTGAAAGCCTTGTGACACTCCTCTGTGAACTCAAAGTTAATATCCTTGCATAATAGGCGTGTTAGCGGCCTTGCTATCTGTGAGAAATCTTTAATGAACCTCCTGTAGAACCCAGCATGTCCTAGGAAGCTTCTGATATCTTTAACTGTCTTGGGCGGCTGAAGGTTTGTCATACTTCAATCTTGGCCTTTATCAACTTCTATGCCTCTTCTGAGATTCTATGTCCAAGCACTATTCCATCTCTAACCATAAAGTGGCACTTCTCCCAATTTAGAACTAGGTGCTTGTCTTCACATCTCTGTAGCACTCTTCCAAGATTCCCCAAACATGATTCAAAGGAAGAACCATATACTGAGAAATCATCCATGAAAACCTCCATAATCTCTTCTATGAGATCTGTGAATATGGACATCATACACCTTTGGAATGTAGCTGGAGCATTGCACAATCCAAAAGGCATTCTCCTATAAGCATATGTGCCATAGGGACAAGTGAATGTAGTCTTCTCCTGATCATCTGGGTGGATTGGAATTTGGAAAAATCCTGAGTATCCATCCAAGAAACAGTAGTATTGATGATTGGCAAGGCGCTCAAGCATCTGATCTATGAATGGCAAGGGGTAGTGGTCCTTGCGCGTGGAGGAGTTCAGTTTCCTGTAGTCGACACACATTCTGTGTCCAGTGATTGTTCTTGTTGGAATGAGCTCATCATGTTCATTCTTGATGACTGTGATCCCTCCTTTCTTTGGCACGACATGTACAGGGCTGACCCATGCACTATCTGATATTGGATAAATCACTCCAGCTTTCAATAGCTTCATTATCTCCTTCTTGACAACTTCCTTTAGGTTTGGGTTTAGCCTCCTTTGGATGTTCAATTGAAGAACTAGACTCATCCTCCAGGATGATGCGATGTGTGCATAGTTCAGGTGAGATTCCTGTTAAATCATCCAAAGAGTAACCAAGAGCCTTTCTATGCTTTCTCAGTTCGCGAACAAGTAAAGCGGTCTCTTCTTTTGTTAGTGCAGCATTAACAATAACAGGATATGTTTCATTAGGACCAAGATATTCATACCTTAGACCAACTGGGAGTTGTTTGAGCTCGGCTTTTGGAGCTCTAAGTGGGCACCATGGGTCGAACTTAACTTTGGTTTGTGATATTTCCTGATTCTTGTCAATGTCTGGCTCTTCCTCTTCTCTCTCTAAGTCCATATAAGCTATCAGCTCTTTATAAGCTTCCTTTGAATCCATGAACTTGACTAAGCATTGAGCTTCTCTTTCCATGTATCCATACTCATTCTCAGCTTTTGTCAAAGCTAGCTCCAAGGGATCAATAAGAAGGAGTTCATCCAGCACTTCTTCTCTTGTCTCTGCGAGCTCTCCAATCCAAAAAGCTTGACCATCTACAGTTGGCTTCTCCATAGACTTGTTTACTTCGAAATTCATCACTATATCTCCAAGATGCAAGTCAATCTTTCCATTCTTGACATCTATTATAGCTCCTGCAGTAGCTAGGAATGGCCTTCCCAAGATAAGAGGGTCTTTAGGTTGGTGTTCCAGCTCAAGAACTACAAAATCAGCAGGGATGTAGCAATCTCCAACCATGATTGGAACATCCATAATAACACCAACAGGGCGGCGAACAGATCTGTCTGCAAAGACTAGAGAGATCTTTGTAGGTTTGAAGTCAGTGATGCCCAATAGCTTGGCCACTGAGTAAGGCATTAGGTTCACACTTAGAACCCAAATCACAAAGTGCTCTATGGAAGTGTGTAGAACCGATCTTGCAAGACAAAACAAAACTTCCTGGGTCGTTCAGCTTCTCTGGCATGCGATTCTGAAGTATGGCACTACACTCCTTTGTAATCATCATTGCTCCTTCTTCAAGACTCACATTGCTTGTGAGTATGGCCTTCATATACTTCCTGAGAGATGGAATTATTTGGCAAGCATCAATGAAAGGTAACCTTACTGAAAGTTGGCTAACAAGATCCTTGAGCTTTGCTTGCTCCTTCTCCTTCTTGGGTTGAGAAAGAACATTTCTGTATGGGATCTTTGGCTCATACACTCTTGGTTCTTCAGGTGGCTTCTCCACTTCCTCCTGAGTTCCTGGTTCTATTCTGACATGGACTTCCTTAGGTGGTTCAGTCCCATCTCCAATAATGACATACTCCATTGGTTTCTTCTTGGTTGGCGGCTTTGCTTCCTCTTGATCTGGGTATGCTGGTGGCTCATACCCTTTTCCATTCCTAAGAGTGATAGCTGCTACAGCTGCTCTCCTTGGATTGATTTCCACTTTTCCTGGTAGCACACCTTCTTCTCTCTTAATAGAGCTGGCTATGTTGGCAACTCTAAGATCCAAGTCTCTTGTGAAAGAAGAAATAGAATCCAACTTCTCATTCAATCTAGTGAAGGCTGACTCCAATCTCTCATCAATCAAGGCTGTGTGCTCTCTATGAGAACTCTTGATGAAAGTTATCAAATCTTCAAAATTGCTCCTTGGCTCCATTCTTCTCTTGTGAGGTGGTTGCTGATAATTTCTTCCTCCATGAACATCCCTCTTCTCATTGGGTGATTCTTGAGTAAAAACATCATGCTCTCCCTTTCCAAGCTTCTTCTCTATGTGCTGATCCATCTATTCCAACAAAGTTTACTTCTTCTTGGAAACTTGGAATCAAATCTCCAAAGTAATCTTGAATTATTGTGGATTCAACTCTATAAGCTTCTCTTTGTCTCTCCACTTCTCTTCCTTGGTTTCTCAGTATCTCAGCCATCATGGCTTTGATTTCGCTGTATCCATCTCTGTATGGATCAGAATTTATGGCCTTCACTGCTCTCTCATGCCAATGAAGTTGTCACTGTCGCTTGAGGCTAGATTTTCAATCAAAATCTTTGCTTCAGTAACTGTCTTGGTCATGAAATTTCCATTGCTGGCTGTATCAAGAGAAAATCGACACTTCCCACTTATTCCTCTGTAGAAAATGTTCCATAGACTGCCCTCAGATAGTCCATGGTTAGGACACTCTCTTGTATAGTCCTTGAAGCGCTCCAATGCTTCATGAAAAGGCTCCACCGGCCCTTGTTGGAAACTAGAGATCTTTTCTCTCAACAAGTTTGCTCTCTGCTTTGTGAAAAAGTGACCTAGGAATGCCACCTTGTACTCTTTCCATGTGGTTATGGATTGAGCTGGAAGAGACTTAACCCAGCGCAAAGCCTTCCCTGTCAAAGTGAAAGAGAATAGTTTGCACTTTAAGTACT